CCCCAACGTCCCCCCGTGTCCCCCGCGCCGCTCTTACCGTTGGAGAAGTTGACGATCCCTTCCTCCACCACCAAGGTGGGCATCGCCCCGCTGCCCTGCAGCATCGACACCACCTTGTCGTGGGAGCAGCTCCTGCAGCGGGACGGGAGGGAGCCCCGTGAGTCCTCCCGGCCGCCCGTCCCGCGGGAAGCGGCTCCCCGCGCCGCCTTTTGCAGCCCCAGGCCTTGGTGGGGAGCCAGGCGGGAGCGGGAGGGATTGCCAGACACCAGCTGAGCTTTCCATCTAGATGATACAGCGCTGGGGAGCTCTGTTTGCCTGCCTAACTCTGCGTGAAAATAAACGCAAGCTGGAAGTAAAAATGCCTTTCTGGAGACGGGCCATTCTCCTTGGAGAAAGGTACGAGCTGCCCTGGGACGATGGCTGCCAAAACGCAGGCTCAGAACACAACCTTCCAAGAGGTCCCCTCTGTGTTCTGGAGATGCGGCATCAGCCAGGAGTTTGCTGTATCAGCTGAAATCTGAGGACTTGGGCACTGACAGAAAAAGCATCAGATCTGTAACCTTTAAATATTCATCATTCTGTCTTGTCGTGTAGCTGGTTCTACCCTTTGCTCTTGTTTTTCTTTTTGTGCAGAGACACCAGCCTGGGAAAGTAACAGCCGCTGTCACTGGATTGGGAAGGTGCAGAATGAGCTCTGGATTGATGGAATTTGATTATTTTTGTTGTGTGTAGGGGAGTGTTACCTCCTAGGTGGAAATGTGATTGCCCAAGTGGTTTTAAGCTTAGGATCCCACTCCAGGAAAAATCCATGGGCTTGTTGGTACTCTGAGAGCCCCAGCTATGTAACATGTGGCTGGAGCCAGGTCTCCGGTGCACGGCACTCAGTTCACCCGTTATGGATGTCATGCATTAAGTATTGCACCCTTAAGTAACTGCACCCTTAAGTAAAGGGAGGGGAAGGAAGGCCAAGGATGGAGGCTGAAATACTCCTTAGAGCAGTTTTATGAGGGAGTATTTAAGGAGAGGCCTGTATGGGACAAAAGTCCGTGTGTACCTCCATAGGCAGCTCTCCAGGATATCCGATTTCCATCCTTTTTACTCCCAAGGGAACACACGAACAGGGCTCGGCCCCACACTCCAGGACCCCATGAGCCAGACCCAGGTCAGTCTCTTACCTCATATCCAGACCATTGAGAAACAAGATTCGATCTCCAGGTTTGAGAGCTGCCTTCTCAGCTGGGCTTCCTAGTGCACAGGGAAGGAGAGAGGTGCTTTAGCTAACGCGTCCCTTGGTTTTGGTGGTGACATCTCTACTGTGGGGCCACTTTGTGCCCAGACGTGGCCAGGGAAGCCCTTGAGGGAAGGTCACCCTGCAATGAGATGGTCTGGATGGGACGGGGCTGCTCCCGGGCTCAGCAAGGCCGGTGCCCGGTGTCGGTGCCCGGCGGGTCCCGCGTGGGTCCCTGCGTGGCCACCCTGCACTTCAAAAGCAGATGTGATTTCAAACATCCGCTGAACAAAGGCGTTCTCCACCTCCTAAACATGAAATAGGGAGAGCAGAGAGCCAAACTCAGCTGTGCTCAAGATACTAATTATTCACATCAGGAGGCTCCATCACTGAGGCTCATAGAAGTCCATTTTGCTGTTTTCCAGCAAACAGTAAGCACTTAAAATACAGGGTTCAGGCTATAGATCCGTAAGTATCTCTGAATCTTAGGGCAAGGTCCTCCGCAGCGTGCAGGGTTTTCCTACCTGGCAGCACGGACTCGATCCACACCGGGGCATGTCCGCGCAGCGTGAAGCCGAAGCTCCTGTTGCCTTTGTAAACCCGCACGGTTCTGTGGGTCCAAAACAAACATGAAATCAAAACCTCACATACGCTTGGTTCTGTTCCCTTCCCTTTTTTTTTTTTTAAGCAATAATTAATGAATTCATAAAACTGCGATCCAGCCCTTCAAATTCAATGTTTTTAAAATGAAAGCACGTATAACATGCATGCTACACTAACATAAACAAATGCATGTTTTACAGAGGTAAGATTTACTAGGCTAATGAGAGAGAAATTAAATTCAGCTAGGAAATTTTGGAAGCAGTATTAGGAGATCTTCCTGCTGGGAGACTGATTGGAGCGGGAAGTTGTTCCCCCGGGAGCTGGGGGAAGTGAACGGCGCCGAGATCGTTTACAGCCGCAAACCCTGTTGTGGGGACCAGGAGAGAGCCCAGCTTGAGCCTGCCTGCTGGATAAGTCACGGCAAAGGAAATAGGCAGCGCGTGCCGGGAGAGACGGCCGGGAGCCCGCGGGAAGGGGCATCGGAGCGGAGCCCCCGGGAGGGCACAGGGAGACATGGACTGTGCTGGTGCTGTCCCCCCGCTGCCCGCAGCTGCTCTGCGGATCCTGGAATCGTGGAATCACTGTGGTTGGGGAAGACCTTCCAGATCATCGAGTCCAACCCTGAGCCCTTCCTGTAATTCCCGGCTGTGCCGATGAGCCCGGAGCTCGGCCGCTGCGAGCGGGGCCGGGAGCGGCGCAGGCTCCGGAGCCTCCCAGCACGGCTCAGCGCTGGCCGTGGGCGCCGGGGAACGGGCTAATCCCCAGGCCTGGATTGTCCTGGCTGCCTCCCCCACCGTGTCCTCAGAGCCAGGCACCCGCCGAGGTGGCACCAGGTGACACGGCCCGTCCTGGGCCTGAGCACGAGGCCCTGGCAAAGCCAGGCATCCTGCGTCCTTCCTGCATCCTGCATCCCTCCTGCATCCCTCTAGTATCCTGCATCTCTCCTGCATCCCTCTGGCATGGCCGGGCATCCTGCATCCCTCCAGTGTCCTGCTTCCCTCTTGCAGGAGGGATGCAGGATGCCCAGCTTTGCATCCTTCTAGTATCCTGCATCCCTCCAGCATCCTGCATCCCCCTAGTATCCTGCATCTCTCCTGCATCCTGCGTCCCTCCAGCATCCTGCATCCCTCCGGCATGGCTGGACATCCTGCATCCCTCCTGCATCCCTCTGGCATGGCCGGACATCCTGCATCCCTCCTGCATCTGCATCCCACCTGCATCCCTCTAGTGTCCTGCATCCCTCTTGCAAAGCCGGGCATCCTGCATCCCTCCTGCATCCCTCTGGCATGGCCGGGCATCCTGCATCCCTTCTGCATCCCTCTGGCATGGCTGGGCATCCTGCATCCCTCCTGCATCCCTGGGCATCCTGCATCCTGCCGGCCCGGCTGGGCACCCCGCTCCCTGCGCGGGTGGCCTCCCGCAGCCCGTGTGCGCTGTCCCTGCCCCACACGCGGCTCCTCACAGCCGACCTGGCAGCGAGGGGACAGGGAGGGCGGGCCGGGACCTCGGGCCCAG